TGTTCAGTACAGTAATATCATGGTAGATTCTCTGAACTCTTCTCACTACAGTAATCGGAACTTTTATGTCATCCATATCCAACAGCTAAAACTTAACTTTGGAAATGGAAAAATATGTTATTTCTAACACAATAAATCTTTCATTTTTGATTTTTAAACTCCTCATAAATTTTGAGGCTGAATGCATTCTTCCCATAGGTAACTTGTAATGCTTCTGTGTAAGGTTGATTGAACCCTGGGTCAGTTAGTGTAGAGCTAATAACAGTAAACTAAGTGTGGAATTTTAGCTTATTGTGTACTGACTTTTAAAACATTTAACACAAGTATGCGTATTACATGTACGCCTCTTTCAAAGGAATAATATATATGAAACAAATAGTTATATACGTGTAAAATCATGAGTATAATATGTATTGTATTCTGAAAGGAAAATGCACTAAAATGAACATAACACAAAAGTGTTTTATGAAATGCATAAAAAGAAATTGGTAGCTTTTCAGTTATATACAATCATGTTAATATTGTAATCTGGTAACATTTCAGTCTATATTTGATAGGTTGTTTAGACAGAGTATTCATGAAGGCGGAAGACTTTCGAAACGTCGTCCTCCACATTTGCTGTCCATTTGAAACTTAGATTCATTTCAGTCTACAGTTTTCAAACAGATGTACTTTAACATACCAACACTGTCATGAATGAAACAAATGTCTAAAGAAAGTATCAGAAATTCTGTCATTTGTCTTCAGACTTCCCAATGAATGTCTTTGGTCAGTGCTATACTATTTATGGCTAGAACCTAAAACCCTCATCTGCTGCTCAGACCACTTTGTTTACTGTACTGTGTTGTAGAAAATCTAATTCTTGCTGTATCCAATATATTTAAACTTTCTTTACAGGTGTTTCTAAAGCTGTATTTTACTAATAAATGATCAAATCTCTTGTTGTGACATTATAAAAGTGGTACAACCAAAGACTGTGCAAAACTAAGCAGAAAAAAAAATGGAACATTTGAAATTCAAGAAATGAATAATATACTCTCAAAAGGAGATAGTTTCTTAGAAAAAATAATGATTTTTCTCTATGATGGGCCAAAAAATTCAAAAAACAATTGACATCTTTAAAGTGAAACTCTTCAGAGCCGCAGAGAAATGAAAGTTTCAAAATTGTTTTCATATTTCTTTGTGAATGACAAAATAATGATTTTAAAATATTTTTGAGTTGAAATTTTTGAAATAAAATCAACATATAAAACTGAAGTAAAATTTAGTGGTAACAAAAATGATTGCAAAAAAAATATTAAAAGCCAGAGGGAACCTTGTCTTCAGGTACAATAACTTAGAATTAAATTACTTTCTTAATCCTAAACTTTATCACTCAATAAATGTAGTAAAAAACTTCTAAGAAGCTGAAAATATGATTAATAGTTTCTGTGTGTTTTTTTTTATACAAATTTCTACAATACTGGTCACTACAATAAAATAATGAGATGATGAAAATATAAGCAACTCTGTGACATTGATAATACATCAGAAAAATACTAAATATAACAGTGACAAGTAGCATTACCAGTAGGTACAGGTTAATGTAGGTTACATTTACTTAGTTCTTGGGATTGAGCTTAAGATTTTATATGAACACAACTGTCTCAAGGTGGTCAGTCATGTGGTAGTACTTTAGACACGGCTTCTCTGTATCTAACAGCACATGCCACTACACTTGTTAGACGTAGAGAAGAATGAGTATTTTGTACACAACAAAATTCTCATGCAAAATGACCGTTGGTTTATTATTTTGAATCAGCTAAATACCGATTCTACACATCCCTATGTTTAATTGACATGATACATTGGGTAAAAAATAAGTTCTGTTTGTGGTAACGTTGCCAGGGTAAATAGGTACTAGTGTTTGGTTTTCTTTTTTCTAAATTTTTTCATTAAACATTATTACACTGCACTGTAGCTTACAATTATCAAAATAGTGAATGTTTGTCATACATTCTATCAAATCAAGAACTAAGTTAGTTTCAGTTTTTTCATATTTATTCTTTCAGCAAATATTCATTATTTTTCCTTCTTATAGCCTAATTACTTCTCATAAGACTGGTGGGTTATAGACTGAAGTCCTTGTTTCTAATATACCGTTAAAATACAATAGGGAAATGGTATTTTTGTTGTTGACTTGTATACATCATGCCAAATCCTCTTGTTAATAATCTTTAATAGTTCTTTATAGAATTTTTTTATCATGTTGTTGGCAGTGTCTGAATTTACACCGTTATAGAAAATTAATTAGTTTTTAAAGTATTACTGATGTTGGCCAATAGCCAAATGCAAATATTGTTTATTTGTACTATCAACAAAAAGTGGTATCATTGTGTCTATACTGAGTTTAAATCATATTCAGATTTTATTTCTAACATATTGTTTAATTCATATACTTCTAGTGACAGGAAATACTGTCTTACTAGGTAAAAGATGTTCACCTTCCACCTGTGAATTTGAAGTCGCAAAAGAAGAGCATGACGAAGTACAAAGGGAAGATGAGGTACTTTATAGTTTAAAGATTTAATATTCTTTTGTTAATACAGAATAGCTTGGTACTTCAGAGTGACCATTTATTGTAGATGTGATGATGTCTTTCTAGATTTAATTTGCATACAGTTTGGTTATCTTTGAGTAAGTAGTTCTGAAAGTAAAAACTCCTGTTGTAAAGAATATGGTGTTTGTTTTTCTCTGGAACTTGATCACAATATCTCTTCAAATGGAAAAGTGATGTTTTATATTCTTCTTACACCGTGAATTTAATGTGTACATATGTGAACATTTTTGGCATTTTAATGGCTGTGTGAGTGATATCTAGAAGTTTCTCTTGTGCTGCACTTTTTTTGAATTTGCAAGAGCTTCTTTCACCAGCACATGTAACTTTATATTGAGGTAAAATTTCTGAGAATTACTGTGTAGTAGCAGAGACCCACAAAACACGTGCATTCAGATTTATTGCAACAGTACGTCTTTATGTCAAGATATAAAAGACTGTTTAGTTTAGATGTTATTGATTAATTTCTTTTTGTGAGTGAATATTTTATTATTGTTTAGTTTTTGTTATAATAAGAGTTAAAAGCAGATGATTGTAGGAAACTTTGTTAATAATTCAATGATGTTGAGACTAGCGAACGTCACATGTAATACATTGACGTCAAGAATATGGAAAAACAGACAGACAATTAAGTGATAAAGGTATAAATAGTGGATGATGAACAGAAAAGTAGACAGATAATAGCAGAAGAAAGTGAATTAATAAAAGGAAAAGTTTGGCAGAAAGTTAATTACCATAGAAGTGATAGGCCTAACGTTTAATATGTTAGAGTAAGAATAACATTAGAAAAGAAGATAAAAAATATATCCACAGCCAAGGTTATGTAGTGGTAAACGGCGATAGAAGAAAACGTGAACAACAGCAGAAATAAGTAGGACTATATACGCACAACTGTAGTAGTAATGAAAATAGTGTAGAGATTACATTCACACTATTAACAATGTCAAATTTTGATAAATTGATAGAAATCGGAGAACATATTAAAAGACAGTGAACTACAAGAGTTTGTTAAACAACAACAAGAACTAGAGAGAGAGAAGAATGGCAACAGAAGAGACAAATTGAGAAGGCTAGAGATTGAGAGAACAAGAAAGCAAGTTGAGAAAGAAGAGAGACTAGAAATAAAGAGAATAAGAACACAAATTGAGATAGCAAAACTCACCCAACCAAAAGAAGAAGGACCCAAAAATGGAGTCAGGGCTAGCTGATCTAAGCTGCCCAAATTTGATGAACATAAAGATAATGTGGATGCGTTCCTGGAGAGAGATGAAATATTTGTCCAAAATCAGAACTGGGACAAAGGTCACTGGGCAGTCTGTCTCAGCCCACTTCTCACAGGAAAAGTCCTACAAGTATATGCAGGCATGATATCAGAAAATGCCATGGATTATGACAAATTAAAAGTAGCTGTACTGAAACGATATGAACTTACTGAAGAAGATTTTCGTCGGAAGTTCACAGGAGTGAAACTCGACACTGGAGAAACTGTATTTCAATTTGTGGTATGTCTGCTGCGATACTTCACCAGATGGACTGACATGGCCACATGTGAAAATAGTTTTGAGGGAATGGCAGTCCTATTAGTACATGAACAATTTATGACCACATGTTCAACTGGCATGTCACTGTTTCTAAAGGAGAGAGCACCAAAAGATGTAGACAAGATGATCAAGCTGGCAGAACAGTATATGGAAGCCCATGGAGATAATATAACTGGCAAGTCCAAGAATGTCCAGTAATGGCTGACCAGAAGCAAGAGTTTACCAAAGGTTACAGGAGGTTAATAGACAGACGGGAGAAGAGATGCTATGTTTGTTATAAAATGGGGCACATTGCAAAGCAAGTCCATTATCAGCAAAAAACGGCAGAAACCTCAACATAAAGCAGCTGGAGCTATTTACAAAGACAGTGTTGGTAAGAAACAAGAAAAGAGTCACTGGCACTATGGATGCCGCTGCCAGAAGAAAGGGAATCAAGACTACTTGT